ATCCATATGCTGGCTTAGTATTCATGACGGCGAGTAATTAACCATATATGTCACTTGAGGATGCTTTTTCTAAAATATTTTCATCTTTGCAGTTAGATTATAAGTATGCACTTCTTACCATTGGGTGTAACACTGTGGCAATTTTAAAGATTTCGGATGTAGTTTTTAAAGTATTTGATTCACACTCGAGGGACTCGCACGGCATGCCGCATTCCTTTGGAAAATGTGTCTTGTTAACAATTGGCAGTATTCCTTATCTTGTAACATATTTTCAAACCATTTCTGCTCAAGTTGGAGGAAGTCTGCCATATGAAATTAAAGGTGTAAGTATTTCTTTCAATGATACTGACGAGATGGTCATCGATAAATCATCTAGTCAAAATGAACTAAATCGCTCTTCCAAGGAACATAGAGAAACCAGAAGACAAGAAGGAGCTTTAGAGTGTAGTGGAAAAAATTTAACTAAAACGCAACAATATTATCGCGAGAGATTAAACTAGGGATCCAAGGATAGTGCAAAGTTTTCATGCCCTGTAATACCTAAGCAACACGTTTTCCCAACATAAACATTTTGACTTATGCCAGTAAAAATATAATGAACTAGGTTAAACATTAATCAAAAGGAAATTACTCAAAGTACTCAAGTTACGTTAGTCGCAAATACTGTCACTATTAAATTATAATTTTAGTTGCCCATGTAAACCGGGCGCGATTTTCTCAGTTTAGTCTCTTTTCTTCGTCAAACAACTGTGACTACATTCACTACATTTATATGATGGCAACAATTTACCGTCATTTCATAAGAATAGCCAAAATAGTTGCATTGTAAATAATGTAAATAAACCGCGGTGCATATATTATGTCTATGATGTGGATACTTCGACGCGTAAATCAATACAAAACAATATACTTATAATCAATACTGTATACCGCCAAAATGATTTCATTACTGCACAAAATGCCCGTTTTGTATAGTATCATTTATGTACTGTATGCAGAATACCAGGTATCGACTTGCTATCGACATAATATATATTCGTCATTCGTGTAAGAGATTAGAGATCTATCAATACATAAACAACACAGCGTCGTTTCTTCCTAACCTCTTATGAAGCTCTATTTATGGAATAAACCTTCCAAATTATATTTGTGTCGAATTGAATGCTCGTAATTCATAACATAAGTTCATAAATTGCGTAGATTCTCAAAGAATTGCACGATTTTTACGCCCGGAATGTTTTGAAGCAATCGTCGTCGCTCCTCGTTTCTTTACATCGTGAATAATGTTGAAGGCTCGACGGCACATGCGCAGTTGCGACGTATAGGAAAAAAATCGGGTGTTCCGGGGGCAAATCTGCGCAAATCCCTTTGAAACAAAACCCAAACCGCGGAAAAGCAATGCTTGAAAATTTACAGTAACGGTCAAAATTCCTCAATATTTTGGTGAACTTAGCAAAAGGGATGTAGAGAATTAATAAATAAAGCAAGTTAAACTGATTTAAAAACTTTAAATTACTGATCATATACAAAAAGGTACTATACGCATAAATCAATCTACCCCCCGTAAAGTTTACACTATGACTGACTGTCTGACTGACTGACTGACTGTCTGACTGACTGACTTACTGACTCGTTTGAATTTTCGCCACTCATCACAATACTGCAAAGTTTCTCAAACTTTGCACTAAAAATGAGACGTCAAAACAGAGAAAAACGATTGGAAAAGCAACGAGAGTACAAAAGAAAACAACGTGCAAATCAGTCTTCTGAATCTAGGGAAGAAACGTTACGTCAGAGACGGCAATATGAAAAGCAAAGGGTAGAACATGAAACATCCGAAAAAAGACATGAGACTAACAAAGTTAAAACAACGTAGAACACAAGTAATTCAAAATGAAACACCTAGCGAAAGAGACGAGAGACTATCAAAGTTGAAAAAACGTAGAACACAAGCAAGTCAAAAACAAACACCTGAGGAGAAAGAAAAGAGATTGTCAAACAATTTAGTATCGAAATTCCATATAGATGTATCAGAAGGACCTTTATACATTTGTACTTGTTGTAATCAGCTGTGGTATAAGCACAGTGTTTGTCTAGCGGAAAAAACTCGAGCTAACCCTGACATGATAAAACATTTACAGAATATAATTAGTGTTGACAATAAAGAATGGATTTGCCAGTCTTGTAAACGATATCTAAATAAAAATAAGGTGCCCCCGTGTGCAATAACAAATGGAATGAGATTTCCTGAGAAGCCAAACTTTTTTGACCTAAATGAATTAGAATGCAGGCTTCTTGCTCCTAGACTAGCATTTCAAAAGATAATGCAAGCTCCCAGAGGAAAGCAGTTAAAAATAAATGGTAATGTCGTAAATGTTCCTGCAGATGTAAGTACCACAGTTAATATGTTACCAAGATTGCCTCATGAAACTGGTACAATTAAAGTTCAGTTGAAACGCAAGTTACAGTACAAGAGCGCTGCTTTGTCGCTCAATGTTAGGCCACATAAAGTAATTCAAGCAGCTTCCTGGTTAGCAAGTAATAGTGATCTTTATCAACAAGAAGGAATAGTCTTGAACCAAAAATGGAATGAAACTTTAAATGCGCAATACGGCAATCATGTGAATACGGAATCAATACCTGATGAAAATACTGATGGTCTTTTCACAACTGAAAATCTTAGAAATTCAAAAGATGATGACTTTAGTGAAGACGAAGCAGAAATTCATTGTATCACAGATACAATGTTAACAGCAACAGATTTTCTTGATGAAAGTGAAAGACAACAAATTCATAATGTCGCTCCTGGAGAAGGTAACAGACCACTTAGTATATTTCGAGATCAATATGCTGAAGAGTTAGCTTACCCAGGGATATTCTTAGGACAAAAACGTCCAGAACACAAACAACGACTAACAACTGTTAACTATAGTGATATTTGCAAGTCAGAATTAAGAAGGTCAGATCAAAGGGCAGCAATGTGCATTGAGAACATTTTTTTTAAAACTAAAAAGCTGCAAATGAAAATTCTTTTGGGAAAATCACAGATTGCTTTGAGAAAATGCAAAGCAAATAATGGTTCATTAACAGCTGGAGAATTGAAGAACCCACGTAATATAGAAACACTAATACGTCATGATGAAGGTTACAAGTTCTTAAGAGCTCTTAGAGGATCCTCACCGTATTTTGAGAAAGCCAAGAAAAATTTGTTTGCTATGATACGCCAACTTGGACCAGCAACTTTGTTGGCTAGCTTTTCATCAGTGGAAACGAAATGGGTTCATTTGCTGCGAATATTAGGAAAACTCGTTGATAATAAGAATTATAGTGACAATGAATTAGAGAATCTAAATTGGGAAGAAAAGTGCAGATTGATTCAAAGTGATCCAGTAACATGTGCAAGGCATTTTGATTATCAGTTTAACATATTCTTAAAAAAGTTTCTGATGAGCAAGGTTGCTCCCTTAGGAAAAATCAAAGACTGGTTTTACAGAGTTGAATATCAGCAAAGAGGGTCACCTCATATTCACATGATGTTATGGCTAGAAGATGCTCCCATATTTGGCGTTGATAAAGATGAAGACGTAATATCTTTTATTGATCAAATAATTACATGTGAAAAGCCAAGTCACAATCCTGAACTACTTGACTTGGTCAATCGCCAGACTCACAGGCATTCTCATACATGCAGGAAAAAATCAAAAAATATTTGCTGATTTAATTATCCTCAACCACTGATGAGAACAACCCAGATTTTATACCCTCTCGATGACTCCTTTTCTCCGTCGAATGTAAAAAAACTGAAACAATGTTATAAAGATATGAGGGACACATTGAATGATCTTAAGGAAGGCGAAGATATCACCTTTGATCAACTTCTTGCCAATTTAGACCTGTCCGAGGAAACATATATTTTCGCAATTAGATCGTCTCTGAATTGTCCAACCATATTTTTGAAACGTAAACCGAGTGAACTTCGAGTTAATAACTACAATCCTGCATGTTTAAGTGCTTGGAGAGCTAATATAGATGTCCAATTTATTCTCGATGTTTATGCTTGTGCGATCTATATTGTTTCCTATATCTCAAAGTCTCAAAAGGGAATGAGTGAATTATTGCGAAAAGCTTGTGCTGAAGCTAAAGAAGGAAATTCTAGCGTTAAACATCAAGTGAGAGATATTGGAAATAAATTCTTAAACAGTGTTGAAATAAGTGCCCAGGAAGCAGTTTATATTATTTTGCAGTTGCCAATGCGAAAGTCCTCTTGCGAAGTGATATTTATTAATACATCACTTCCTGAGGAGGGAGTTCAGCTTTTGAAACCAATTACTGAGATTGAAGAAATGCCAGACGAAAGTGAAGAAATCCATTCAGGTGGATTGTTGAAACGATATATTGAACGACCTGCCAGTTTTCAAAATGTTACTTTGGCTGACTGGGCAGCATGGTATGATTCATGTTGTAAACATTATGAAAGAAATAAAAAGAATTTAGATGTTGATCAGCTTCTGCTAGAAACTGCTGACGATGAAAATAACGATGACGATCTGTGCGACGAGAGCGAAAAGCCAACTAACAAAATAAAAAAACGATCTAAGCCCAGAATTATTAGAAGTCCCTGGTTTAACAAGGAAAGTAACCCAGAGAAACACTATCATGAACTTATCATGCTTTTTACACCTTGGAGGAACGAAGAAATCGATTTAAAAGGCAACTATTCTTCATATGAAACACACTACTTGGCTTTATCAGATCAAATCGTTGAGCAGATGAAACAATATGCCGTTTGCGCTGAAGACCTGAATGAGATACAACAGGGCATGAATTCTGATGATGACGTCTTTGATTCTGTAGCTCCAGTAACACAGCATGTTGAACTCCAAGATGAAAATTAAGGTAACCAAGATTTACATCCAGATTTCAATGAAGGATATGATCTATCAGATGATCTTGGTACACCTTCACGACAAACAAGTGGAGAACCGTTGATATTAAATGAAATGCAGGACGACGAATACCATTCAATGCTACAGAAACTTAATAAAGAACAAAAAGAGTTCTTTGCTCATGCTCTACACTTAATTAAAACATCAGACAGACCATTTTATGCTTTTCTTAGTGGAGGAGGAGGTGTTGGTAAATCCCATTTAACCAAATCAATTTATCAAGCTGCGCTAAAATATTATAATTCTCGTCAAGGTGAAGATTTTCATCAAGTTAACATTTTACTTTTAGCTCCAACAGGAAAAGCTGCATTTCTCATCAAAGGTAATACGATTCATAGTGCCCTTGCTATACCAGCAAGTCAGTCTTTAAAGAATTACAGACAACTTGACTCGAGTCGGTTAAACACTCTGCGAAGCCTACTAGGTGGTGTTAAACTAATTTTGTTGGATGAAATATCAATGGTTGGAAACAACATGTTCACTGTTCAAATAAACAACCGACTGAAGGATATAAAAGGTAGCAAAGAAGATTTTGGTGGTGTTAACATAATCGCGATTGGCGATTTATTTCAGTTACAACCTGTCTTTGATGGATATGTTTACAATGATATTCAAGATTCTGAGTATAGCATTCTGTCACCTAATTTATGGAAAAAACACTTCACGATGTACGAACTAAAAGAAATAATGAGACAACGCGAGAGCAAAGTATTTGCTGAGATTTTGAATCGCTTACGAGAAGGGCAACACACTCAGGACGACATTGCCAAAATCAAAGAAAGATTTGTTAACGACAGTAACTGTCCGAAGGAAGCTCCCCGAATGTTTATACAAAATGCCAAAGTTGATGAATATAATGGAACAGTTTATCATGCATCTACTGGAAAAAAGTATATCATCATAGCACAAGACAGTGTTATTGGAGCGAATTCTGCTGAACTAAGAGATAAAATACTACGACAAGTTCCTTTCCTATCAACAAGAAATACGAAGCAACTGGCAAGAAACCTTGCTCTTGCAGAAGGGGAAAGGACAGAAATAGCTCTAAACGTGAGAACTGACGATGGTTTGACAAATGGTGCTAGTAATGTTATACGGTTAGTTCAACTGTATCAACCTGAGAAACCTTCAGGAATAATTTGGGTACAATTTGACGATGAAGATGTTGGCAAAAAGACAAGACAGGAAAATAGACGACTTTATGTTCAAGGTATCAAGGTGACATGGACACCAATAAAAGCAGTTACTTCGCAATTTGCAGTTGGTAGAAATAAGTCAGCTCAAGTGGTGAGAAAACAATTTCCGTTGCGACCAGCAGCTGCAAAAACTGTACACAGATCTCAAGGGGATACTCAGTCTAAAATTGTTGTAAATCTCGATACTAAAAGAGCAATTCCTCATATTCACTATGTCGCACTTAGTAGAGTTACTAGCATTGATGGTTTATATGTCACTGGCTTGTGCGAAAACAAAATTGCTGTTGATCCAAAGGTGACAGCTGAAATGGAAGATTTAAGAAGAGAAAGAAGATTACAGCTTTGTTTTACACCACTCTACAACATCGATCCAGGCTGTCTGAAAATTTGTTATTTAAACGCTCGTTCGCTACACAAACACATTAACGATGTTCGAAAAGACTTCAATTTTATGTCTGCTCATTTGGCTATATTTTCGGAAGCAAGATTCAGCCCGTATGAAGAAGATGATATATACAGTTTTCGTGGTTTCCAATTATTCTGAAATGACGGCGACATGACACACCATAGCCATGGCAGACCATACGGCGGTACAGCAGTATATAGCAAATTACCATTTGTAGAGGGATACCCTTATTGTCGCAATATAAATGGTATTGAGTTTATCGTAATTAAAATTACCAGCAGGCAAGAATTAACAATTATTGCAGTTTATCGCTCCCCAACAATTTCTGCTGGTCTTCTAAATTCTTCCCTAGTCGATATCATTGCCCAGGATACCTCCGAGCGAAACATAATCATTGGAGATTTTAATATTGATTGGATGCTTGTACACCAAAGACAATCACTCTACAATGTCATGATAAGAGACAATAGCTATAGACAGTTAATATCGACGTATACTACAGACAGTCGTACAACAATTGACCACATATATACAAACATAACTAAAAAAGTTAATTCAGGTGTTTTAGAAACATATTTTAGCGATCATAAGGCCGTTTGGATAGCACAATAAGTAATCCTTTTGTAATTAAACTTTTTCAAATCTATGAAGTATCATTTTACTTGAGGTAATCCAAATATCATTAACAGAGTTTCAAAAATGCAAGTATAATGCAACATAAGTATTAAACTATTCAACTAGTATTGTAATAGAAATTTAACGTGGAAACAGTTTTTTATTTTCCACGAGAAGATATTATGTTGTAGAATTCAAATCAGAGTCTATTATCAGATCCCTGAGATTTACCTTCAAGTGTCAATAGCAATGTTTTGTGAATTTTAAACTACTTGACCTAATTCCGATGAACATAATATTTGTATGTGGCCGTCATATGCCACTTTCAATCATCCATGTCCTTTGACAGGACAACAGGTTAGTAAAATTTTCTTTTTCTTGTATAGTATAGGTGTGCTATAGTTATTGACATAGTAAACATAGGTTTTCTATTCATATATTAGCTATATTGTAGAACTTCATATCTCCACTTTTAGAAATGACCTCAACTTATTACTTGCCGAAACGTTAACTGGTAATTTCAAAACTGTGTATAACACTTCTAATGCATTGTATTGACTTGGTATATAACGAGGAAAAAAGGTAACTTTAAAAAATATTTGCTGCACGTCAAGAGAAGAATACTTAAATTCAACCTAAGGACAGTGGACTCATTATAACTATCAAAATGAGTCCCTTCCTGATGCATTTACTTCACAATTTGTACGCGAATGCTGACTGCAACTACAACGTTCTCAACGGAAGTCATTTTCTTCTAGAAATCCTCAACTCTTCAAGATTATTCTCAAGCGAAAATCTGTTCACTGAACTGAAGTACTGAACTTACGTTATTAACGTTACGTTAAAACATTAACAATGGAACAAAAATGTAAATGGAGCTATACATGTATTGCAGTTTGAAACAAATATCCATGATACAATATGTCTAATTGTGTGAAAACTGCTGCATACCCAATATCTTTCAATGATGTTTTATGTGTACCAGTTTCCACAGTTCCTACACTGTTGTCATTTACAAATTTTATATAGCTACTTGTATATCCTATATTTGACGCAGTTGTAATTATTTAAATAAAATAGTCATTTCATCATTTTCATGTCATTCTTATTCGCATTCATCTTTCTATTTTTTTTGGGGGGGGGCTAAATCACAGTAGACACGTGTACGCTTAAGCGTACCTATTTTTAACCTTCTCTTGTCAACACAGGTCACCGTGTCCTGTAATGAAACTTCCAACCTCGTGCACCACCATATCATAGTATCTCTACAGAACAATTATTTCAAATATAAAATGCAAATAACATATTCATATTTTCTCAGAAAAACTCAAAAGTGAAACCAAATATCTGCGAAATCCATGTAGCACCTAAAAGACATCAACACAAGACATCTCTAACAATCATCTTTATCTAAGAAAAACCACTTCTGAATATGTTTTGTTTCTTAATATATACACCTCTAACATGTGGGGTGAGCGACCATAAAATACACCTTGGTCCTATACGCTAGTTTAACTCAAATTTCTGACAAATATAAGTATCCTCCCTTGCTTTTCAAGTAACTCACCTTTCACATAAAAAATTGCATAAAACTTTCTCAATCCCTTGAATATTTAAACAAAATAATAAAAATAAAAATGAGCATAGAGCATTCGATTATTAAACTAGCCTCTACTCGGCCTCATTTTGCGTGCTTTAAATTTTCGTGACATCATCACTGGCCAATTATCTGGAACAAGGATGCTGGCCACTGAGCTATATAATAATTTCTTTTCAGGAACTAGGAACTTTGCATATAAGAATTATTATATCGCTGGCCCATGCACAGGCACGGTAAATAAGCCGGAGTTACAGCAAGAATGTTTTTTATACTTTCATTTTAAGTATTTTTATTGGGGAGATCTTGTTGTTTAGTGTCGTTTTGTCCCCTGCTACAATTGCAATTTTTGTTGCGATTTTCAGAGAGATTTCTTTTTCGGTGAGATATGGGAAGAAAATTGGGGCCAAAAATTGAAAACCTTTAAAAAATCCAAAAGGAATTAAAAAGTGTAGTAGAAGTGCCAGAATTTTTAGATTCTTTGAACTTTTTTGTTGAAAAAAGCGGAAAGAAAGGTATGATCATGTTTTAGCACACGTCGGTGGTAGTAGCTTTTCCGGTATTAGATTCTTCCTCTATGAGGAAGTTGAGCGTCTTTTTGCAAAAAAACATTTGAACCTTTGTGTTATTAAAACCTCTAAATAGACTCAAATCTGATTGAGATGATATTTTGAAGTAACTTTTGTTGATAAGAAACCATTAATATTTACATAATCATCAATTTTATTATATGTAAGTTAATAGTATTAGACAATTGACAAGTAAAAGTAACATGGAAGCTAGTATACATGTTTCTGTTCAGTTCTAAGGATAGTGACATAATATATTCATAATTACATTGGTTTTAATTGTAATTAGTGGATATTAGATTCAATTTCGATTTGAGTTAAAGATATTAAGGAAGACACTAAAATAAACACAATCACAAAATTGACACATACAGGTATCACAAAAGCGACAAAATGACAAAGTTGAATAGCAAAACGACAGTGGAAAGGGAATAGATGCAGAAGAAGAATGTCACATACGAGACGTTCACATTTACAAATCAGACAAATTTTTCTGGCTTTGCTCACTCCTGGGAGGACGAACAAGACAACACAAAACAAACATGTTAGACATTTTATTAACTTAGAAATATTAGAAGAGAATATTACAAAGGTCAACTTTGGGAATGAGGAGAAAAGGTTCATTCATACTTTTCTGCAATAATCGTTGGCTCTCTATACGCATTTTATGCCTGTATATTGATAGACATCATCGGGTAGTGATCCTTTTATTGAAAATTGTTGATTTCATATGGATTAATTAATAATGTCGACTCTTTGATTGAGAGAAGTTGATCCTTTGTGTAGCACTATTCTTTCGAAATCTATGTATTATATTGAAGCAACAAGATGATTCCATAAGCCATGGTAAAATCAAATATTTGTGAGATCTTCCATTATATTTACTTTTCATAATTTTCCTGAGGTGTAACTTGCGTTTGCATGAAATCATTGTCACAAGAGTCAATCCTCCACATATGTTGATCATATTTGTTGAGTTTCATTGAACTTGTTTTTTGGATTATCAAAGCACTCAGGAAAATGGAGCAATTTTCATGATCTCTGTGCAAGATAACATGGTATACACCTGTCATGCCAGTATCGTTTGGTAGATTGGAAGTTTAAGTTTTCTATCATACGTAACGTTCTTACTACGGTGTTAACGAGTCTTTGGTAATCCAGATGCATTTTCACATACAGGGTGTATAAAAAAAATTCGAATCGAAATTTTGCATGTAATAATGCAAAATATATTTGACAAATTTGGTTGATTTTTACACCATTGTTAAGTTCATTTATTTCTGTTTCAAATGACACATTGTATGTGTAATTTAGTTGAAAAATGAAGAAGTACTGGTTCCACAAAAAAAGTTCATAAAAATCACCATTTTCCGCCGATGGGAACTAGACGTTTTGACCAAATGGATAGTTCCGTTTCTTTTGTGGTGGATGAAATATGACAAAACTTGATTTGTCTGCATTGAGGGAAAGTTTGTTGGCACAAAGCCATTTATTTACATATTGCAATTGATTATTCGTTTTAATTTCTAAATCTTGTAAGCTCCTATCATCACAAAATAGATTTGTGTCATCGGCAAAAAGATGAAAGTCTAGCTGTGGAGCACAGTTGCAAAAATCATTGATATATAGTAGAAGTACCAACGGTCCCAAAACCGACCCTTGTGGAACACCACAGGTGATTTCAAAGCTGAGTTAGTATTTTCGATTGAAACAAATTGAAATCTCTGTAGTTAAGTTGGAACGAAACCAATTGCATGGTAATCCCCTGATCCCATAATGCTCAAGTTTTTGTAATAATATGCCATGATCGACAGTATTAAATGCCTTATTTTGGTCCAAAAATATACCACAGGAAAATAGTTTCTTTTCAATTGAATTCTGTATTTTGTCAGTTATTAGCAGAATTGCTTGCTTAGTTGAATGGTTAGCACGGAATCCAAATTGACCGTTGAAGAAAACACTATTTTTCTGAAAATAATCAATTAATCTATTGTACAATAATTTTTCCATAATTTTATTAAAAATCAATAGTAAGGAGATATGACGATAATTGGACATTGTAACTTTACTTCCTTTTTTGTATATGGGGATTATCTTAGCTATTTTAAAACTTTTTAAGGCCTCACCGACAGTAAAAGAATAATTAAATAGGAATGCCAATGGAGCAGACAAACGATTTTCAGGATTACAAGCAATTTAGTGGAGATATTGAAAGGATCATTTGATTTAGAAGCATTTAAGTTTTCAATTTCTTCTTCAATTTCACTTGTTATAACAGGAAACAATGCAAAACTATTTCTGAGAGATTTTTAAAGGGTCTTAATTTCGAGTGGTATTATACACACTTCAAATTCAAG